TCGATGAACTGGATGAAATCGCTTCTTGAGGGAATACTGGCACCACAAAATGACAAATTTCTGATGCCAAGATTATACAGTTGCCGCGATAATAATAGTCCAACTATACATTTTAATCTTTTACGCCTTGTATGACTTTTTTTTTTTTTTTTTTTAATATTGCGTGTATTTTTTTCAATGTACATTCTAATTTGCCAAAAAAGTAATAATCAGGCATAATAATGTAATGTAAGGATGAAATTCTTCGAAAGAAGTATTTAATCATTTTTAGTTCAGTTAATTCTTTTCTCTTGTGCTAAATTTACTACTGGTATTTAGCGAATTTGCAGTATGTGTGTGCACTGATACTTGTACATACATGTACATGTATGAACATGTACATTATACATAGTTTGGTAAGGCCAAAAAAATAATAATTCTGCTTCCGGTTTCCCTACCTACCCTATTCTGACAGCCCCTACATTGTACCCTAATTTTTTTATGAGAAAAATGAGAAAAAAAACACCCAAAACCATCAGTTTCTACCTTTTCTCTTGACAAAAAAAATTCGCCCCAAAAAAAGTATTTCCCTACCTACCTACCTTAGTTTCAAATGCCATGTGATCGGAAGCAGAACTATTTTTTTTAGGCCTAATACCATTGCTCTTAACGCACCATCGTGACAGCAGACAGCCAATGTTGACAGCTTAGGTTGATGTCTGCAGGCAATGTTACTATGGAGTACATGCACAGGGTCTGTCGGTGGAATACATTAGGGAAATTACAGATGTACTGTTTACTCAGTCTCAGAACACGACACCCAAAACATGAAACAATTTGATTTTTGTAAGATCTAAAAGAATTGGCATTTTGCTGAATGGGTCAAACCACTTTCTTTCACAAAAATTAAGGTATGTGGGAGTGATTGTTATTGAATCCGAGAATTGAAAACAACATCGCCTTCATCAAATCATCAACAGTTTCATGTTAAAATGTATCTTCACTTTAAAATTGTCCATTTCAATTATAGTTACATACATGTAGCTTTTTTTTTAATTGATAGATTTGTACATGTCTAGTCTTATTTGTTAAGCGTTGAAAATGAGCAGAGGTTGTGGTATCATGTAAATGGTCTGTGATCTAAAGGGAAAATACAACATTTGCAAACATCAAAAAATAAAACCACCAAATCATTTTGAAATACCTTGCCGGACTGTTAGTGAATGACAGTGTAAAGCATCCTGTAAAATCATGGCACCTGGTTTACTGTCATTTTCAAGAAAAGTGGTACTTTTGTATCAATTTCCAACGCTGGTCGGCCGACCAGCGTTGGAAAAAACTGGGTTTTTTTCAAACACTGGCCCCAATTGACCATCGCACTTGTTTGCAATGGATTACACACCTATGAACGGGTACAAGCCAGCTAGACTGGTTCCCTGACCTTACAATTCCCCAATGTATGTAAACTGCTATGTTTCTTCTTATATGGAGTCAGGGAACCAGACTACAGGAAAATGATTTTTTTTCTTGGTTTTATAGCATTTTCGAACCCAAAACCTCAAAAAAGTCAGTGTAACTATATTTGCTTTATATTTCCAACCCCCCAATTCCATCCATTTCGGAAAATTACAGCAAAAGCAAATGATGTATATTCCCTTTAAGCGAGGAGGAAATTTAGGTTTGCTGAACCATAACCTACTGGTAGGCTGCTAAATGTGCACATAGCATGTGTTTTGTGTGGGTTTTCACCATGCAGTTTGTGTTAAATACCGGGGTCCTATGCAGTTTGGGCCCCATCTGTGACGATGCATCAATATGAAAACTGCATAAGTAGGCTTAACTTGCTAAAGTTCAGACGTTCATTACATGTATGTGTCACCAGTGAGGCATTTCAAAACCAGTGTAAAACGATCCGTAAATTTTAAAAATTTTTTTTTTTTTTTCTTTTCATTTTCTTGCAATTTTGTGTTAAATGATTAAAACAAATCAGGTTTTCATGTGCCGAGATAGCCATAGAATCCTTGACGTACATAATATGTGTATGATAAATTTGTACAAGTTTGTTGTTTGCATCTTTTCCTTTTTTTCTTCTAAAGTACATGTACACTGTATCCCTCTTCCTTAATCTGTCAGCAGAGGTGAAATCCACTTAAAGGAAATTTTACAGCAGATCGAGCATGGAAGTCTGAAGTCCACGAATTGAATCATATTATTTTTTTAACATTCATAAATGATTGTTTAAAAGTATTTAAAAATGAAATTGTTTTAAAAGAAACACAATGTTGTACATAAACATTTAGCATGTGTGGATGTACATGCATACATATATAATTAATAGCACTGTACACTCCCGAGGCCTGTTTTTGAGTCAGAGCAGGGATAGAGTCCTATGTTGATGTACACAAATACATTATGTACCCGGTATATTGTAGGATATGTACATTAGCTCCATGGTAGGATTGTGCTGTGCACAGACACGCTTGACTGCTCACCGACTGTCTGATTGACCCTCTCTCGTCTCCGCTGGGAGATGATGATGTCATACTTGGCATCTATAACCACTTTCATTTGGCTGGAATTACAACATGTAGCAAGCAGACAAGTGCAGACAGACAGGGACTGATATGATTCCATGTATACTGTGACACTGGAGAAAGGTGTGTGTTGACCAGACTGATGAGATGTAGACTTTCTGAGTCGTCTGCTTTGAATGCCAGTGGCACCTGACATGCATGTGTATGTGATGATCGAATAAGAGTGATTTAGTTATATTTGAGGAAGTAAGTGATGTGAGTGCTAGACCCCAAAAAATGTTTGAAGCTTTCCTTGAGAATCATTTGGATGCAGATTTAAGTTAATAAATTTATATGTTGCTTGAGAAAGATCAATTAAAACAAATTATTACAGCCAATGCCGTGTTGGAGTTTTTTGTTTTTTTTGTTTTTTGGGGTTATGTTTTGGGTTGTGCATGTAATGTTTTGTGTTTGTTTGTTTGTTTGTTGTCATTTTGATTTCTTCTTCCTTCAAGCCGTAGAAGGTAAAAGTGTATGTAAATGTATGTATTTCATAAGCATGGATTTGTACAATTTCACACAACTTGACATGTCATCATAATGTAAACTTGTCAATGTCATGCTTGTGTACGGGGTCCATAAAGTTAAATACCCGTAAATGAAGTGCTTACACGAATAGCCCAGTTAATTGTATACGTACGTGCATGTTCGTACATGTACAAGTACAATGTAGATCTGAATATTTTTGATACATGTACAGTGCGATTTAGAAACTAAGTTGCCTTAGTTGTTGCGCTTGAGTGATATTGCCTTGACAAATTTTCTTTATGTTTGGGTTACAATACAATTGAATACACTCCAGACTCGTTGAAGGTTTTATTTTGCAATTCCATTCTGGCATCTGATTTCTATGTGAGAGTTGTTTTTTCCCCCCCTTTGGCCCAGGATTGCGGGTGTAATACATTTTATAAGGGATTTGCTGAGGTATGCGGATTTTAAAGAGATGCCGTAATCTCATTGTGAATGGGTTGGTACAGATTGAGAACACGTTGTTAATAGTGCCGTAAATAGTGTGTGTGTGTATGTGAAAGGTACCGTACACCTATGTATGGGGTCAAGATTGCTTTGAAGTACCTTCAGGCATGCATTATAGCTGGTCAGAATAGATCGCCGCACTTGCCAGGTCACTCGACAGGTTTTTTTTTACATGCCTGTTGTGCAAATTGGTGTGTTAAATCGTTGGACGCCGTTTCTTTTGCACATTTGTTAATTCACTATTAAGCAAAAATCGTGAATTTGACCTGTCACCAGGGTTGTTACAATGTACACACGTACATGTTTCATTTGTGAATCCATTGTCGAGTGTGCAACTCTTATACAGTGTATTATTGGCTAGAATTGATGAGGTAAACACAAGAGGACATTTGGAAAATATTGTTCCAGTGTTGTTAAACATTGTCCTCTGCACTAGAAAACAATGCCATCAATTTACGTAACAAATGGGCAATTCCACGGTTACTCACGTTACATTTTTGATGTACTTTTGAGTTTCCTTGGGCTGTAATTACCTTACTGAAAAGGTTTAATAACTGTTATCCCCATGGTAGTTAGAGTAGACCTAGACCTACCTAAGTACCAAAGATGACATCCAGAAAAATGTGTTATGTATGATGAACAAGACGCACAAAATCGGTTACTCACATTACGAAAATGTAACGCGAGTAACCGGGAATTGCCCAAATGCAGATGACATGATGCAGTGGTTATATTCTATACACATTGGTAACATTGTGATCTGCTTGATGTCACACACAGAACAGGCTTGCAAGTTATTGTATACACCGCAAATGTATACAGTGCCACATGAAATCGTTCACTGTTTCTTTTTTTCCCCTTATTTGTCACAGGTCTGTGAACATGGACAATGTCTGACTGGATAAGCCCAGCACTGAAATTGGACAGAGCTACCAGACACAAAAGACAGAGCCCTGCACCAGGAAATTAAGATGGCTGTAACTGGTCTGGAACGCTGTCAACAGTTGTTAAATGAATACCGTGATATGAGAGAGAACAGTTAGGCACAAATATATTGGGTTCAGGTAGTACTGTGTATTTGTGCCATTCATTGGTGTATCTGTGAGGATTTGGACAGAATCATTCTACAGTGTACGGTTTACCAGCGCATGAAGGTCAAAGAGATTTGAGTGGAGAAAAAAATTGCGTAACGTTTGAGGAGAGGCAGGTTGGTTATCGGGGCTTAACTGGCTGTTGTAACTTTGGGTTCTGGTGGTCAATTAAGTGATGTCCCAGGAACACTCTGATGCCATTTCAACCACAGAAGATGACGCAGAGATCGATATCAGTATGGGAAACAATGAGAGTGTTAAAAATGGGGGTGGACCATCTCCAAAACCACCACCCAAGGGTCCGGAAGAAGTCCAACACGTCCAAGGAGGTCTTGACGGAATAAACGGAACCACGGATAAACCAGGTGTACAAAATGTACATGTATCATCGGATTTGCCGAGTGGAGACAATCCAGGCAAGAGAAATGAAAGATTGACAGTTGAAGATTCGGTAAATTTGCAGAGTGGTTCGGAGGAAAGGAACGGAGGAGATGAAAGTGGATCACGCGATGGCCGGCTACCTGTTTCATATGCCGAGTGTGTACGCAGCGGAAATCAGAGAGAAGGGATTACACCTGCACAAGTGCAAGTAGGGAGAAACCATGACGCATCAATATCCGACCCTCTTATTGGTGAAAATTCAGAAGGGAGTAACCCGAGCTTGCATCAACCTCCAACATCTGATGAGAAAATGGCAGAAGTGGGCCAGGAACAATCATCTCGCACCGCAACGCAATCCCTGAATCAAGGACTGAACTCTGTAAGTCAAGATTTACAGGGGCAAACCCCAGCTGCAAACACAGACAATGGGAGCACTGTGTCAGAGGTCAACTTAGTAAAAAATACCGTGCCCTCGACAGAGGATGGTCCTGCTGTGGCTTTGCAAAGTACTGACAGTGACGCTAATGTGTGTGACTCAAATCCAAAGAGTGAGAGTAATACGTGTAAAACGAGTCAACCAGCTGTATTGGTAACCGGCGAAAAGACCACACAGCTGAAACAACCGCCTGACTTTCCAGTGTCTGTGGAGTTAAACAATGCCGGACAAACAAGCAGATCTTGTAAGGAAGTGGCTGGGAAAAATTCCCGGAATGCCACCGAAGGAACAGGTGAAATAAGGAGTAATGCCAGTGCCTCTGGGTCAATCATTGCTGATCTAGCAAACGGAGAGAATATATGCACAGCTGCAGCTCAGAGCCACAATACGTCAGTCACACAACCCTGTGAAAACTCAAGTGTTGGTGCTGCCTCCGCACAATTACAATGTGGTGGGACTGAACTCAAGGGCCAGACCGTTTCAGCGGCTGCTGCAAACCAGATGAGTGAAAAGTACAAAGATCACGACCAATCTAATGAATGTATTCAACCTGAAACGCACACAGTTCAAGAAAATGCCATATGCGTTCTACCAACCAGTTTTTCAGGACCAGTAGAACTGGATTCGCCTCATTCGTCCCATTCGTCGGACAGTGGGAAGCATCTGATCATATCGACGATCACGGTGGATGAAATCACCATAGAAGAGATTGCAAACACGCGTGACAAGAGAGACGCTTTAACCTTGGCAACACTTGAAGCCAAGTCGCCCCCTGAACCTAGTTTCACTGCAGGCGATCCAAAAGTGAATCTAGATACGCTACAAGATTCAGAAGGAATGCCTGAAAAAGAATCGGATAGCGAGGAAATGCAAAGAAACGCATCGGAATCGAATGGACTACATACTGATGCCGAAGCGGATCATTTAACAGCCCCAGGCAATGGCGCTGACACTCGAGACTTAAACATTCTGAATCATGAGCCATCATCTGACACCTCGGAGGGGGGAAGCACAAGCGCCCTCGGGGATGCAACGCGGGAGACTAATTTGGATACCGAAGACATTAATGTAGCTATAATGACAGATTCGCTGGCAACCGAAGAACAGCAATATCAAGGCGAGCAAATCCCAACGGGGATGACCAAAGATGGTGCTGAGGGAGAGATCCCAAATATTGCCGAGGAAGAGAGGCAAGCGATGGATAGTTCGGGGGAGACTGCTGGGGCGAATGGCAGCACAGTCTCGAAAGACAATGCGGGAAATTTAGGTCAAGTTGAAGATGCAGGAGCAGCAGATGAACCCATGTCAGTAGTGACTGCATCACTCGAAGTGGGAGAGATAGTCAACAGCTCGAGGATATCGAAAGGAGACTTTCATTTTGAAACTCCTCTGACTGAGCAGACGTCACTGCCTCCATCTGAATCATTCAGTGAGCTGTCGTTCTGGAAATCAAGTCTTCCTCTGCTTACGCTTGATGACTTAGCTCCAGTCATGGCTGAGAATGAAGGCGCAAATAAAAAACCCAGTGAACTGGAAACTAAACAGATGGGCAGTAGCTCTAAAACTGATGCAAGCAAAGAAGCAAGTCATCATCACTTTCTCTTGAAATATTCTCCTGACTTCGCTTTTGCCCTCCCAAGCGTGGCTGACCCACCTGAATCTGTAATTCCTAGGAAGGAGACTACGACTAAAGAAAGCCTGAAGAGTGACCTGAATGTACCCAACTCTCCCACCGTGATCAGCCCAGTGGATCAAGCGAGTTTGAAGGGTAGCAATACCAGTACCCCAAGCACCTCCAGTGGGGAGTTTGGTCAGTTGATGATCCCAACAGTGGCAAGATTGCGAGAGAGGGATACTTACTTCGGTGCCGAGAGTCCGAGCGAGTATTTTGACTGCCGCTCAGAACTGAACGACAGTAAAGACCCTCTGGACGATTTAGTCAACGAGGATCTGTCCGAATCTATCAAGGGATCTCTCAACTTGGAGGGATCAAGCCCTGCTGCTTTGAAACCTTCCCAAAACCAAACAAGTGCTGAAGGCGTGGAGGAAGCAAGTAAAGAGGTCGGTAGTGTTGTTGAGGAGCCGACAGCTGATTCATCCTCATCTGAGAGTGGCTCTCCAAAGCGTAGAACGAAAAGTATGTCCTCCGTTTCAAGCCATAAGTCCCTGTCAGGCCAGAAGAGGAAACAGTTCACGGGTGATGACCGACAGGAGGCAGATCTTAGCCACGTGTTTGAATCTGAGGATGCCAGGTCCAGCCTCCCGCAGTGGAGTAACCTCATTGAGAAGGTCACACCAATGGCCAAGCTCTTCTCCTTCTCGGAGAAATGGCAGACGCCACTGAAGACGCGCTCCATCTCCTTCGATGAGTCCAAACACCTCATGCATCAACTCACGGAGAGTGAGCGAGCCACCAGAATCAACTCGGAACCCCTAACAAGCCTGAGCCCAGACTCGGAATCACCCCTGAGACCCCAGAGTGACCCCAAGCGTTCCAAGGTTCAGTTCGACGAGGGTCCACTAGCAGTCTCGTCCCCTCCCGGACCCTCAAAACCAGAAGGGGGACTCAAAAGACCGGACACACTCTTCACATTTTCAGCCAAGCCCTCCACCAAAGAGCCCGGATTTCCACCACGGCAGCGGGTGACACGGACCCGGTCAGATGGGCGCCTGTGGCGTGAACTTTCACCTCTGACCTCGCCTTATTCATCCCCGCTGAGAAGCCCAAGGATAATGTCACCAAGGAAGACCACACTCATCAGCCCCGAGAGGGAAAAACACGCAAAGCTGGACTTCAAGATTAACTTCAAAGATCAGAAAACCTTTACTGGTGAGTAATTTTTGCATTTCAAGTTTCATGCACCTTATATTTTACATGTAGTTTAGTTTTCCATATTTTAACAGAGTACAGTATGTACACATCTTGGGTTAATCACATTCATGGAAGTTCATTACACATGCCAAATGTGCAGCAGTAACAAGAGTGTGCAGATTTTACAAAATCCATCATCTATTTTGGAAATCAAGTGAAATACTGAAGTAGCAAACAAACCAACCATGACTGGAGCAATTACTGAAGCTGTTAAACTGGAATTAATTTGGAGGAATTTATCATGTGCTCTGTATAGGCTGCAATGTGCCAGCATGGAGTACCGAAGTGTGACGTCATTTAGAACCAGAAAGTGTAGTGCAAACGAATGGAGCATGCGCGCGTGTTGGTTCACAGGCCGAATCATGCGCTAATTTTACACACATTTTGTGCGCGTGACGTATTCACTTCGGTACTCCATAGCAACATGTAGAAGTAGGAGGCACTTACACATATAATTGCATCCTGTATGCTTCATATGCCATGGTCAAAATCAACACTATTCAAAAATCTGCACAGTATTTTTTTTTCAGTGCATATTAAAATGTGGCCCATTTTAATAGCTTAAGCAGAGAAATTACTTCTTAAATGCAAAATGTCATAATATAACATGTATAATAATGCAAACAGTACTCATCTTTTAAATTGCTACGTTTTTCAATTTAGTAGTCACTATATTTACTTATACCCCATTTAAATCATTGACACTCAATAGAAGTACCTTAACATACATGTATAACGTGTACATTGTAAGTAAACAACCCCATTTACTCCTAAAACAGTCTTGCAAAATGAGTGACTGGAACAAAATGCAGACCATTGCACGATGAATTACGACATTAAAAAAAAAAAAAAACGTTTGAAGCTTGTAAATAGTGCCCATGTGGCTGCTCTTTGTGGCTGGTTTCAGCATGTGAAATTTATGATATGTACTTCAACACTGTAGTTGAGGTTGTACATGTTTAAAGGATAGTTTAGGCCCCAAAAAACCCAATATTTCTGCTTCCGATTACATGGCATTTGAACTTAGGGCAGGTAGGTAGGAAATTTTATTTTTTGGCCATTTTTTTCATGTATGATGCATATGGGGGCGTCTGCGTGTAGTCAAGGGTAAAAGGTAAAAATGTATGCTTTTGGGTGTTTTTTTCTCATTTTTCCAATAAAAACATAGGGATGGGGGCTGTCATAATAGGGTAGGTAGGGAAACCGGAAGCAGAAATATATATTTTTTTGGCCTAATCAGCTTTCCATTAATGTTTTATACCCTTGCAGTCTTGGATAGCTATGTATTTTTAGTGATATTTGTCCTGTTATGATTTATGTTGCAGGTCGTCGGCTAGTTGACTGGCTGTGTTCTACCATGATAGACCCCAAGCAGGATGAGCCCACACCATCCTCCTCAGTCACCTCCCCATCCTCTGAGGGTCGTACCTCTGTCTTGCTCCTCTGCTCCTGCCTGCTGGATATCGGAGTCATACAACCACTGGAGGCTGAGACGGGAACCGACAATTTCAAGGTATGTGATGTCTATTATAATCTTTGAAACTTTTTTGTGGGTTTCTGTTTTGACGGAATAATTACATTTCTATTATAATGACAAATTAAATTGATTACATGTAACTGCTGAAAACATTTGCGAACATATACCCATTGAAATGTGCTCGTACTCATGGAAAGTACTTGTACTTCTATAAATGTACTCTTGCTCGTACTCATGGATAAAATTCCTTGCTCTTGTCATCGTACTCATACGTAATATTGGAGCCCCAGGAGCGTCACTTAGTGACAGACATGAGCGCTTTACAAGAAGCCAATATTAATAATATTATTATACTTATGGCAAGGTACTCATACTGGTGCTTATGGCAAAGGTGAACTGTTCGGTCATAAACCAATAAAAGTAAGAAAAGAAGTTGACAATTTCAATGATTTTGTTCTTCCATTTTTACTCCATGTGGTATGCTTGGTTTTGCTCAACATCTCAACATTTTGCTATGTTTTATAATCTTTGTGAGTCTCAAGCTCACAGAGTCTCCAGCACTTCATTGTTGGCGACAGGCGTTGCGTGTACACATGTATTGTGCGCATGTTTGCGAACTGCGCATGAGCCTCGTATTTGGGTTCTTTTGAAACACTGACAAATAAGTGACAGTAGTGAAAACTTCCCACCTGACGAGCTCTCGACCAATAGGAATAGATAAGGTATTTGTGAGGTGTTTTGGCAAAATGAGACAGAACTGGGCGCAGGACGTACATGCACCTGTAGTGGAGAAATTTGCAAACAACTAAATGGGATTGATTATTTTTCAAATTTCAGGTTTATTCATATTTGTAAGCTTTCATATGTCTACTACACATTTGTTAAAGATATAGTATAAAATTTGTGGACCAAAAGTGTTTTTAAGGAAAAGCAATTTGCATCTGGCATTTTTACGAATACAAAACTTGAAACTTGAATGGCTTTTTTCCCAGTATTTTACTTTTTGACTTGTCGATAAATGCAAACTTTGAACAGCTAAAACTCGTCAACAGAATGTCTGATTTGAAGTGCAACATACAGCAAAAGAGAACTTAATTCTCTTTCCTAATACATGCAAACCCTCATTTCGACCTCTGCCAACTTCTGTCTCATTTTGCCAGTAAACCTTACATTTATGAATACCCCTTAAAAGTTTAGGTATAAAAGAGTACACACGTACATGTACCACATGGTTTCTTGCACCCTTGTAGAATTCAGAAGATTTACTATAGGAAGTTTCCTAGCACAATGCCTTAGGGATTGAAGCAGATGACAGTTATGTAATTCTCCTTCCTACTCCAGTTGGATGCCATGTACTGCTGGGCCCAGCATGCCTACCACCCCAGCTACCCAAACGGCATCCCCATCGTGTCCTCCCCGGGCAAGCTGGAACCCGTCTGGCCCCCTCCCAAGCCAGAAGAAGGCTCCGCCCATCAACACGGTCTCAAGTACACGGAGGCAGGTGGGTGACTGAAATCCAATAGTTGAGATGTTTGTGTTGACTCACAGTTGAAAACATGGACAAGTATTGATTCTAAGCCCCACTGTCGGGGAAATTAATTGTACATGTATGTATACATATCGATCATCGTTTTTCTTCACAGTGTGTTCTGAACATAGTTTGCACGTACAGTGTAGTTGGCGAAAACCCTGTTACGATTTTTCAAATGTAAATCCTTGACTGGAACTTGACCTCATATACGTGTAATCTTTTCTGATCCGACATGAACCTAACAAGCTTTCTTATCCCTTGTGAAAAATAGCCTTTTTGTTTTGCAAAAGCAAATAGTACCTCAATTGCCTCAATATGGCTTCCTATATTGAGGCTTTTACAGTCTGATGCAGTAATTATAATGTCACTCAATCAATCAATCAACATTGTCAATACACTTTGAATGTTGGCCTGCACATACACGCACATGATGTGCAGGTTGGTCAGTCTGCCAACGTGGTGTAAGGACGCTCACATACTGGTCTGCTAATTAGCCCATATTGTATTTTCATTACAGTGTGTCTGCCAAATACATTATCTAGGCGCCTGGTATTGCTTACTCTGTGCATGTATACATGTACAAAATGTACATGTACCACATGTGCATATCTAAACTTTCTTTCTATGCTTTTGTTTTAAATTTGTGTTTGTTTTTAAACATTAGCCTAAAATTTGGCCAAAGAAAGGAAAAATCAGTTCTATTTCTGGTTACCCTACATGAACCGGTACATACCCCATTTTGACAGCCCCTAGCCTGATTTCTTTTGAAAGAAATGAGGGGAAAAAACCAAAACCATCAATTATTAACTTTTACCCTTGACTACATGCAGACACCTCTATATGATCGTACACCAAAAAAATTGCCCTCCCTCCCCCCCCCAAATAAAATACACTACCTACCGGTACCTACACGTACATGTACATGTACCCTATTTTCAAATATTATGTTATCGGAAGCAGATGTATTTTTCTTTTTTGCCTTATCCTCCAATCACCTTGTTTACAAGTGCACTTTCTTGTGGGAGCTTGGCGGCTCTAATTACCATAAGAAAGATGTGAACAAATCTTGCAGATGTACATGTAAACAATGCTTGACGTCATTATGTTAGAGGCATATTTGATGCGAACAACAAAACTAAAAAATTCTTTGATGTCTGAACTGCTGCAGGAAAAAAAAACAACCTTACACCATTTGGTTTACCGAAACAGTCATAAACCTAATTTATATATATGCATTCGACAATAAAAATAAACTTAGTGAAACTTAATCTGTGCATCATGTAGTTAGTATTTCGACGATGAAAGGTCGGTTCATATTCAGCGCGAAAGCAAACGTAAATTTGTGATATCGCAATTCGCCAAAGTTGAACACACTTGAACAGCTCTGGTGAATTTCACAGCAAGCGTTTTGTGTTGTCGAATTCGTTTTGCATTCCCATTCGTGTGGAGAATGAACCCGTCTTTGCGTATACCCTTACAGCCTGCATAAAAAGTGCTTTACTCTTCGTATAAATTGACCCGAGCGGTCCATATGGGTTGTTTTTGTAAGGCGCAGACTGTCAGTGGATAGCCACTGGCTCATTGATCTGTTTGACCAGGCAAGATTGCCTGTTTCTACGACTATAAAAGGCCTGGTATGTAAAAATCCATGCAGTGACCGTTTGTTCAGCTTGTCCGTTTTGTTTATTCTATTGCTCATGCTTTTAGAGGGCAAATAAGACTTAAAACTGGTCAAAGTCTTGCAAGATAGCCTGTTGTTTCTGTTTGTTTGTTTGTTTGGGGTTTTTTTTGGTACCACACAAAAAACAGAGACAAAAATATAACACACAAGTTGTTTGCCCCCCCCCCAAAAAGCTGCAACAACAAAGTAGTCTTCTTTGTGAAATTGATATTTAATACTAATGCCCAGCAAAATGACATTTTGCTTAAAAATGCACATACATGTAGTACCGGTATCTGTAAACATGTGCATGCTTTAACTATCAGAATTTTCAAAATTCCCCCATTTTTGTTGACTTGCCAACAAATTTAGGTTCCGCGGAGATACTGGAAATAGTATCGCATGTTGTGAGTGAGTTGTATTTCTGTATTTCTACATGTACGTAGGCACTCTAAGTTTTTGTATTCTGTATGCACAGCAAAGCCTGAAGGCACTGCTCTCTTACGTTGGCTTCATTTAAATAATTTGCAGTGAACATGTATGTACATGAACGCATGTACATGTGTTGGAGGCTAGTTGGGTAAGAAGAAACATTCCATCAAATCTTGTTTGTTTTTAAGGTATACAAGACAATTTGCATTTATCCCAAAAGTAACCTACCAAATTATTATCAAAAACCTCACTTTGATTAAAGATCATACTGGTGCTAAACGCTCCGTGAAATTTTTCCATAAGTTTTGTTTGCTGACATGTAGAAGACATCAAGAAATGTCTGTAGGTGATTTCCAACGATCAGTCAATTGAATGATTTTTTTTTGGAAATAAAGAGTGCTGTAGATCGTGTTTCAATCTTGATCGAAAGGTTGTGCATGGTTTTTTGCGGTTTTCTCAAAAAGTGTCATGTCCACTGAGATGAAATTTCAACGGGTTAGGTTTGGAACATTCTTTTTTGGTTGTTGAGTGGTATTATTGGAAACGAACAAAAAGCAAATGATCTTATGCCTTTAAAGATATAGTCCATCATTTGTAATTTGTGCATTTTGTTCGTTTGAAGCAACAAAAGTGTTCAAAATCTAATGAAGGATACTGAACAACTAACCTGATGAAGTTTCAGCTCAGCTTCAGCTGTATATTCCGAGAAAAACAGCATTCTAGGATCTCAATTTCAAATCAAAAGTTGCTGAATCATGTTTTGAATCATGTTTTGAATTGCAGCTATACGCGATGTCGCGCACTGATCCGACGAATTATTGCAACCGCGTGTGCGTCGTGCAAGACTTGCGCGCTTCGCCGAATAACAAAACGAACTACTAATTTACATTTTCCTACGGTGCGTCTTAAGACGCATCGTTGGAAAGGCCTTCTTTCGTTGATTACTTCAAAATGACAGCTTGCCAGAAAGAATAATTTCACAGGGAGTGAAATTAGTCCACTTACTCTCTTTCATCCAAGTATGTTTTTCAACAATAATTACGCCAGTTACTTTTCGGATGGCTGCAAATGATGGACTATAGCTTAAAGACATGCATAGCTGCACCTTAGTTACCCAACTGAAGGATTTTTGTTCAAGATATGTGACATTACTTTAAATACGGCAGTATAGGTTACACAATACAGACCCATGAAGTTGTTTAACATTCTTTTTAAAGGCATTGGTTACTATTTATACGAATTTAGTATGACCGCGCTTGCTTGTTACACTGTATCAACTTCTTCTATTAAATGCAAACAAGAGATGGGATTCAGTGGAGACTTTGTTCCTCCAAGAATCCATTTGTACAATGTATATTTGTCATCAATTTATGTAAATGAAAGAACATGTCTGGAATGCAAAGCACATTTGTAAACTTGAAAAGTTAGTATTTTCAAGGTTTTTGTAGCTTAAACAGGGGTGTGAGTGACCACTGATAAAAAAGAGCTGAAAACAGCTGAAAAAGGTGTAAAAAAGCTGAACTTTGGAAATCTCCTATACTTTGTGTACACAGCAAGTGAGGGAAAAAAAGCTGAAATCCAAAGCAAAAAAAAAAAAAAACTAAAGTGAAATCAGCTTTAAAATAATAAACCATCCGATGGTTTGATCAGTCAAAAACAGTCAAAAATGTCTTCCTTTTCCTCTGCCTTGCATTTGTGTACAGACTAGTAAAAAAAAAACCAGTCAGATCCAATCGTGTAAACACTGTGACTAGTCAAATTCCACTAGACAAAAGAGGCCTGCACCGTTGGCCTATCAATCACCTCCAGTCAAAGCATACATGTAGCTATATAAAACTAAGAAGGAAATTCTTAACTGTTAAAAACAGTCACTTGATTGATTTTGACTGCTGTGATAGTGTACATGTACAATGTACATGTATCTGAATTTGTAAACACCTACCGGTAGGGAGGAATCTATTAGTAAGAAAAGTCTTAATCTCAGTAAATTTGGTTTAACTTGTTAAAAAAATTATCAATCAAAACTATTATGCTCCACGGAGCCATATAATAATACATGTTTATTTGCATACTGTATGTGCATGTAATGTACATCTCTCCAAAAGTCAACACCCAAAAAGGCTCCAACTGACTTTTGATACCGTTTTAAAATTTGTTTAATGCATGTGTATCACCTGCTGTAAGTTACATGTACATGTACATGTATGTTACAAATTGCTGCCAAATTCCTCATTTAAAATTCCATCAATGCTTTATAAAACTTTATACCGTACTCCATGTGTATGCATGAATTGATCATTGTGATTTACATACATGTACTTGCAAGGCTCAAATAATAAGGCAGTGTCAAAAAGCAACCAAAAAAAAGGCTTTTCGCTCTTAGATCCAAGAGTGTGATTGTATTATTGTAAAAATAATGGTGCTGTGTAATATTGTAAAATATTAATTTTGAGTAACTGCCTGGATGTACATGTGATTTTAAAATACTTCTCATATTTTTGTTGAAGATAATTCCTAACTATGCACTAAATTTCTGTAAAATTATCACTGATTCTTGAGTTATTTTAATTTTTACATATGTGCCACCAAATTTTGTTGCCGCTTTTTTGCACAAATGGCTGCCAAGTTTCATTTTTTAAAGGAATGGAGGGTTTTGATATCTTGAAAAAAAAATATTATCGGTATCATAGGAATGAACTTATCTTTATCTGTTTTGCATTTGACAGAACTGCAACAGTACATCATGGGGCTGAAGAGAGTGCATGACGACGCTCTGGAGAAGATGGAGGTATGATTTCTTGAAAGCTAGAATTTCTTTGATACATATTTATGCAAGATGATTTCTCTTTTGGGTTAAACTGATTAGTTTAAAGAGGTTGTGGAATGCTCGAAAACATTTCCGTCATTTTTTGGGTATATGTAGCCTAAGGTGTGATGAAATAAAAACGACTAATGTTTCTGTCATGAAATGAGTACAAAGGGTACTTTTGAGAGCTATTTTTCAGGTCTTGTTTCGACCCGAACGTGCAATTTGTGTAAAAGTCGTCGTTGCGGGCAGCAAACAAAACACAGTAAATCGTGACGTAATAAACAGGACTCGTTTATGCTACTCTGCATCGGGAGTCCTGTTTATTACGTCACGATTTACTGTGTTTTGTTTGCTGCCCGCAACGACGACTTTTACACAAATTGCACGTTCGGGTCGAAACAGGCATGACAGGACTTGAAAAACAGCTCTCAAAAGTACCTTTTGTACTTTTATGACAGAAACAATAGTCGTTTTTATTTCATCACACCTTAGGCTACATATACCCGAAGAATGACGGAAATGTCTTTGAGCATTCCACAACCTCTTTAAGATGGACGAAAGAGGGCTTGTATCTTAATTTTGTCACTAAACAGAACTTGGCTGGGAGCTAGTGGCAAGCAGCATGCTTCACATGACATCTTGGCTGCTAATCGTTTTGTAAAGCCAAAATATTTCTGTGCTAAGCAATTCTGTATGTTAAACGGCCCTTTGCACTTTGTCTAAATGGTCCAATAAGCCAGTTCGGTATTTCAACTGGGCAAGTGCACAATGATATGGGTCACGGGTCATTCGGGATAATCGAATGCTCATTGAAGGCGCATGAACGCGCAAGGAGACGGTTGCGCGACGCTCGAGCGTTAACTAGGAGCAGAATGGGCGTTTGTGTAACATCGCGGTTACAAGATGCTTAACACTTTTCCTGAATGACCTTTGGCCTGGACTACTTCATCGAGATACCGAACTGGTTTATTGCTTAGAGCTGCTTGGCAAAGAATTGTGCTAAAACATAAAAATACATCTTCTGAGCAAAGAAATTTATCAGTTAATATAATTTGTTGTATATTTTTACTGACATTTTTCCAACTAATGTTTGCTTGGCAAATCAATTTACTCGGCAATATTTTTTCAACAACAGCAGGTTTATAAAATGTACCCTGATTTTAACCTGGGTTCAATTTCACAGTGCTGCTTAAAAGTAAGCAGAAAATTGGTGCTAAATATAGCAGAAAATTATGCTAACCTTAAGCTGGCATGGATGGCAAACATTTTGCACACATGGAGATTTCTATTGTTATGTCATTAATTATGTAAGCTGCTTTTGTGTGTTACTGTTAACGGTCTCTGTGAAATAGACGGAGGCACTGCTAGCAGAAAATTGTGTGCTTAGCAGCACTACATATAGAGCCCAGGTTATAACCTAAAACTGGAATGTTTGCCATTTCAGTGTTTACACTTTAATCATGTATTATCTCTAAACAGTTGGACCATGAGCTAGCTATGGTTGAGTTGCGAGGCGATCATGCAACCAAGCTTTGTGCTCTGGAGGATAAGCTCTCAACTCTTCAGGACACCCTGATGCACGGAGGAGGATCCCGAGAACCAAGCAGCGACACCCAGCAGAAGGTCATGATGGACGTCGGGGTCAACACGGACTGGATAGACTACAGCAGGCAGGGACTGCAAAAGCAGATTGAACTCTTTGAGGAGATCAAGGAATCGGGTGGTGGGAAGGTGCCCGCCCCTCCCCCACCTCCACCAATACCTTTAGTCGATGCCCAGAATGCTGCTCCACCCCCTCCACCCCCAAGCCTTGCTGGACTTCCCACCCCACCAGGAGGTGCAAGCGTACCACCTCCGCCAAGTGGGGTACCACCACCACCACCCTTACCACCATCAGCGCATACGATACCCCAGCCGCCCCCACCCCCTGGAGCTGGGGGTGTACCACCGCCTCCCCCACCTCCCATGCCAGGGATGATGCCCCCTCCACCGCCCCCACCCCCGGGGAGTCTTATCATCCCCGCTGGTCCACACTCCTCCCAGTCACCAGCAGGTACTCCCTCCACACCTAAGGGACCTGCCAAGATAGCCATTGAGCCCACGGTTCCTATGAAGCCACTCTACTGGAATCGGATACAGTTGCACAAACTACCCACAGTGGTGACAAAAGATCGGTAAGATCTGGATCAGTTTTAAGGACTTGCCCATGATTCCCAGATTGTCAACAGAACCAAGGTGCCAATTTCAGTCAGTTTGGAAGAGTTTTTCAAGAAGTCGGGTGTACAGAATTTGTTTCATGAAAGTAAGAATAGAGAAATTATTAGAGCGAGTTCAAGCATGAAAAATTGCAATCAGGTGCAAGTACTTGGACTTCAATGAGAGGTTTGTAATAGCACAGTACATGTATGACCCTATGAGCTGCGTATGGTTCTTTCAACAAGCAGTTGACCCATTGTTTTGCCTGCACAGTATTTGAGCATAGGACACAGTTTGAGACAAACCTTTCGTGATAACCGGCTTTTCTTGGGGAAAAAAAATTTCTCAATGATTCTCCAACATTTAAAACATTTTGTCCAAAGGCCTGTACACAGGAATGACTGTGCAAAGAATACAGGGTGAGTAAAAACAAAAACGAATCCCAAATGTCGGGACTACTGTTTTAGTGAAGTTCTGCATGTAGCACTTTCAAAGTCTAGGATATGAAAGCCAAATGCATAAACTTTGTTGTAGTACAAGAATCATTCAAATCACTCATGTTCTTTTCAAGTTTTATACGGAATTTTAAACACAACCACCGTTTTAAGGTTCTGTCCACGGATCACAAAAACGTTCAGTGTTCTTTCAGCAAAACGAAAACAAATCACATAGGGATGTGTGTGAATTGTTTTCGTTTTGCTGAAAGAACGCACACCTTTGTTTGTGATCCGTGGACAAAACTTTAAAACGGCAGTTGTAATTTTAAAGTACATGAGTGATTTGAATGATTCTTGTACTAAAAGAAAGCTTATGGATTGGGCTTTCATATCCTAGATTTTCAAAGTGCTAGATGAAGAACTTCACTAAAACGATAGTCCCGACATTTGGGTTTCGTTTTTTTACTCACCCTGTAGTGGACATTACAACTCATTCAAGCTATTAAATGTGCAAGTTAAAATTTGTTTAAATGTTGTGGTTTTGCAGCATGTTCATGTATGTACTTGCCATGATGACACACATTTGCTTTCATGCTTGCTTTTGCGTATGGACAACTGTTGATTTGCCTTTGCAAGTACTTCATCAGTACATTTCTGTATTGAGTTGACAAATGTACAAGTTGATATAAAAATAGATCTTTTTACAGAGATATCATTGTTTCATTTCTCTTCTAGTCCTGACCCGATATGGAGTCAGGTGGATGAGCTACTCATCTCCCCTGATGAGTTGGAGGAACTCTTCTGCAAGAAGATGACCCAGAAGAAGAGACCGCTGGCAGACTCCTTTGACAAACCAAAGGCAAAAAAGGTAAACAGTTGCTTGAGGTCAGTTTGTACGATTTGACAGTCCAGCTAACGCTGCCTTCCAAAGCACATTTCCGGTCCATTGTGCATAGGGCAAAATTTGACGATTGTGGTTAATGATCAGAAAGTATCTGTGATGGTGTAGCTGAATTTGTCAGCCAGAGAGGGAGGATTCTATAAGGACCCAACCCTCCTATGCAAACATGTACATTATGTGCAGAGTTGTCCTTTCAGTCAAAATCAATAAACTTCTTAACATTTAAGAACTCCCAGCCTACATAAAGCAGGATTGACTGGCTGTGACTGTTTAATCAAACTTGATACGGCTATGCTATGACTGTGGGTGATTGATAAGCCAGCTGTGCGTATCGCTTGTCTGCTTTTGTCTGTTGACTGAATTTGACTAGTGAAAGTGCTTGCCAGAAATATGATTTGACTGTTGGTGACTAGCCTGTGTAAAAGGCATGGCAGTGGAAGAGGATTCAAATGGACTGCATGCATATGAACTTCTTGGTCCTTTCTCCCTGTTGTGCTTTATGATGCACGCGTCTATTAGTAACCAGTGATGCAGCTGTGCCCTGTGGTCTCGTTTCAAATAGTCAACTAGAGTAGCCCAACTATCCTACGTTTGATTGAAGTTAATTGCACTATGGTTAACTATAGTCCTTGCCCCAACTAGCTCATATCCACACTGACCTATATCAGCACGCACACAAATGTGCGAAAACTGCAGATGGTGCTGTGTGGAATACACATGACATCAAGTGAAGGACATTTTTATGACATTGCTTTTATGTACATGTATATCATCCATGGTACGGAAGTATCCACAACCAATATTCAACTGTGATTTGCACGAACCAACCGTGTGTGAGAAGAATGTTACCTACGGTAAATGGGGGTGCAGAGCGGCAAGGTTACACACCTATGTTCCGACACACCTATGTTCTGACAACCCTATGTTCCGACTGCACATATTTTTATCCCTAACTCTAACCCTTAACCCTAACCCTAACCGTAACCCTAACCATGAGTAACACAATCTTATGTGCAGGTTGTCAGAACATAGGGGTGCTGGAACATAGGGGTGTCGGAAAATAGAGCAGTCATCGAGCGGTAACGGTGAAGTGTCCGTCTCTGTTGGTGCAGTATTACATTTTCACCGTTGAGGGCCTTGCTTGTGCAATGAATCCAGAGGCAGTAACATTTTTTTTGCGGTCTTCTCCTCCCAGGCTATGAAGCTATTGGATGGCAAGCGGTCCCAAGCAGTCGGTATCTTCATGTCTAGCCTCCACGTTGATATGACCGATATCAGCCAGTCGGTCTTAAACATGGACACAACCATCGTAGATCTGGAGAATTTTGAGTCCTTGTTTGAAATTGTGAGTACAATATATGAAAACCTATGTTACCAGGTTTTCTGTGTTTCTCAGTTATTAACATTTTGGTCTGGTTTTCCCTGATTAAGACATTTTTTGGAGCTCGATAGTGTCTCCTCAGCCATTTTAAACCTAAACAAAACTTTATTTGAGGTTTTGAAGTATTGCACAATGAATATCCCAAATTGGGAGAAGTTTTGTGCCAAGTGGAGTGATTAGCCGTATAGCAGGGGTTGTTCTAAAAGGACGCGTTGGTTTGAATTTGTTGTTTTGTGTGCGAAGAATGACAAAACCCTACCGAGGGAATTATGAACAGTCAAGAGAGGACATAGTGGAGGAAATAAAATCATCATCATTAAAACGGTACCTTGTAAATATTAATGATTAAAGGTAGTGTACATCATTTGTCAATTGTTCATTTTTTTCGTTTGAAGCAACAAAAGTGCTCAAAAATTTAAGGGTGCCAAACAACTAACCTGATGAAGTTTTAGCTCAGTGAATGCTGTATATCAGCCGAGAAAACACTATTCTAGGATCTCAATTTCAATTCAAAAGTTGCCGAGTCATGTTAGAATTACGGGACATATTCTCAATCAACCAATTGCAGCTACGTCATGTGACGCACTGAACCGACGAATTGTAGCAACCGCGTGCGTGTTTGCATCGTGCCAACGCTTGAATGCACCAGTCGCCAAATTCGAAACGAATTACTTATGGAAATTTTCAAAAATGACGCATCTTTGGAAATGACTTTCTTTTATTGTGTTCTTCAAATGACAGCATGCCAGAAAGAACATTTCACATGAGTTTAGTGCCATAACTATCTTTAAAGGTATAGTCCATCATTTGTAATTCGTGCATTTTGTTCGTTTGAAGCAACAAAAGAGTTCAAAATCTAATGAAGGATACTGAGCAACTAACCTGATGAAGTTTCAGCTAAGCTTCAGCTGTACATTCCGAGAAAAACAGCATTCTAAGATCTCAATTTCAAATCAAAAGTTGTTGAATCATGTTTTGAATTGTTTTGAATTACAACTATACGCGACGTCGCGCACTGATCCGACGAATTATAACAACCGCGCGCGCGTGTGCGTCGTTCGAATACTTGTGCGCGCTTCGCTGAATAACAAAACGAACTACTAATTTAAATTTTCCTACGGTGCTTCTTAAGAATCACCGTTGGAAATGCCTTCTTTCGTTGATTACTTCAAAATGACAGCTTCCCAGAAAGAATAATTTCACAGGGAGTTTAGTCCCCTTACTATCTTTCAACCAAGTTAGTTTTTCAACAATAATTACGCCAGTTACTTTTCGGATGGCTGCAAATGATGGACTCTACCTTTAAACCAAGTAAGCTTTTCAACAATAATTTTGTCAATAACTTTTTGAATAGCTGCGAATGCTGTACTCTACCTTTAAATAGAAATTGGATGGAAATTCTCTCTGTATATTTTTTTGAGACACAGATTAGGTTGACTTTTTTCCCTAACCCCCTTATGGTATGTGAAATATCATATTGAAATTGGAGGATTCAGGACTGTCAGGGTAAGTCCTGTGTAGTTTGTCTTTATTCTTATCTCATTTGTGGCCCGTTTTTGTATCCCATTGACAGAGACACCAAGATGATGAGTTGGTCAAGATCAAAGCTCATCTAGACAAGGAAACAGACCAACCACTGGACAAACCTGAACAGTAAGTATTTAATGGTATTGTTTGTGCTGGTTTCTAGAGGGCCAGCCTAGCATCGTCTTTGTACCTATCTCACTGACTATTACTGACCAATTGCCTGACTTGCTTACTGTTAGTTGCAACTTGGACTGGTTGTGAAGCGGTGAAGCTGGCTCATTGTGAAGACCACGTATATGAAAAGACTTCCAGTGAATCAGCCGATTGATACAGGTTCCCGTCTACTGGAACCTTTAGACGAAGTAATGGGAATCTGTAAATTCATTATTTGGAAATTTTACATTAATCTTAAGGCAAGATTGTGATGGTAACTTGAGGTTGGACCCTGAGGTACCCTGAAAAACCCTATTCATTCATTTGATCATTTATACAATCGTGATGACTTGAAGAGTTGCGCCCAACTGTCCCTGTCAAGCATAGTGTTGGAAAGAGATGGACCACTCAGACCAGTTTCTAGCTCGATGGATGTTTTCAGGGTCATGTTGGGATGACCTCTACGACGAGGGGCATCAGGCTTCCAGAGAAGAACCCCATAACCCTTGTAAAACCTCAGGGTAAACCTCAAGTTACTGCCTGTTTATTTTGCATTCTCCCGTAATTAAACTGTTATATACCTGAGACGGTTTATGCATTCCGATTGGTCAAGAGCCTGTCACGTGGGTGGTTTTAAACCGCTGATAAAACAACGATAGGAAGTGTGTCAAACCAGCCAACAACAAACGTGGCCCCTGAAACAGGGCAATATATTTCTGCTTTCTAAAATGTATTCTGAAAAGTTTGTAGGTTTTGCAGTTTGAAAAAAAAAATACAAAAAATGTTGATAAACCAAATAATTTTACTTTGTTTTTACTTAAATTTGTCTTAGAGGAAGAATACGTGGCTTAAATAGTATTACAGAGTAAATTTTCTTCTGCTCACGCCCACTCACTCGCACATAATTCAGTAATCTTGTGCATAACTCTATACGTAGTTACATGTGTTTAAAGGGATTTTCTATATGTTACTCTGTAAGCGCCCTGGAGCATTGGTTTTTTCGATGGATTGGGCGCTATATAAATCTTTGCTTATTATTATTATTATTATGTACATCACGCGAAGCAGCTACACGCTATACATACGTGGATTCTTCATCAGAGAGTGCTTTTTATACCCTGCCAGTCAAGCTTTTCAAAGGTGTATACTGTTTCTGCCTTGTTTTGTTCCGGCACTTCATTAAAATGTTTACTAACCCCTTTTACTCGCAGATTCTAAGTCATTCTAAAAAAGAGTTTAATGGTGAAACCAAAGGGCCATACTGTTCGTACCCTGTTACTGTTATGTATTTTTTTTAGGCTCTTTGTGGATAGTGCCATTAACCCTTAATACCTCACCAGCACATTTTGAGTTTCCGGAAAAGGTTAAATAATAGACCTGTTTTGTTCCCCTTTTCTTTCTGCAGGTTTTTGTATGAGTTATCCCAGATCCCAGACTTTGCTGACCGGGTTTACTGCATGACATTCCAGGCTTCCTTCCATGAAAACCTGACCTCACTCAGAGGCAAACTCGGCAACGTTCAATATGTCTGTGAGGTAAGATTGCAAATGCTGCAGCGTTTGTTTCTCAATTTTCTGGAGCATTTTAATCTTATAAAGGCCAGTTCATAGTCAGCGTAAAAGTGAATCGGAGTGCAAAGTTGTGACATCATGTCAAGTTTTCACGCTGCGAATTTGCAAAACTTTAATACGTTTCAACTCTGGCAAATTTCGCTGCAGAAAGTTTTATGACATCAATTCGCTTCGAATTCACATGCATGTGAAGTATGAACCGGCCTTTAACTATGTGACCTGAGATTTGATCCCAGCAGGACCGTTCCCTGTTTTCTGATTTTTATTAAGAGAATAAAAAGTATGTGCTTGGCCGGTTTTAAACAAGTACGTTTAAAACCGGCTCAGGGGCCTGGACCCCGATAATGGCCCGAGCGGAAGGCGAGGGATACTATCGGTGACCAGGCCCCTGAGCCGGTTTTAAACGATCTTGTGTAATATCCGCCAAGCACATATTTATTCCCATTCATAAATACCTTTGAATCAAAAGTCAAAGCAGGTCCAAATATTTTAATTTCCAACAATTTTGTTCAATAGGAATAGGTAACTGTCTTACCGGTAGGTATTTATGAATTTCAATTAATTAGCCTCTGTAATTATAGCAACATGTCATATTCGTTGAGAAAAATTGGAAGTATGTTACCTCTGTACGCCAGTCTTGTATTTTGATCTTTCGCACAGCACAAACTTAGAACTTTGCATTTGCACTTTGTTTTTTTTGATAGGAAGAAAGTTTGTCAATTTTTTCCACTGATCCTAAAATCAAGTATTACACCCAGGTCCCTTTCAGTTTTTCAAAAAGTAAGTTCAATCAAGAACTATACTGTAGTTTAACCCTTAACTCTAACGAACTTTGATTGATAGCACATTTTCACCATTGCTTGACTGGAGATGTTCACACGTTGCTATTTTGTGCAAATCAACCGGCAGTCAACCAATGGTCCTCGATCAAACTTTCTCTTGTATTTCCCCATAATGCTTTCCAGGTGCTGCTTACCAGTGAGGGAGTCAAGAAGATCCTTGGTCTCATCCTAGCCTTTGGTAACTACATGAACGGAGGCAACCGAACCAGGGGCCAGGCCGATGGGTTTGGTCTGGACATACTCGCTAAGCTGAAAGACGTAAAGAGCATGGTAAGCATTGGAATCCCTTCACATCTGGGTCAGATTTCACGGAGCTGCCGGGGTGAGTTCCGGACAAGTTGCGGGTAGAATCATTCCCTTTGTCTGGAAGAAGCTCTGCCCTTGTCCTGGACATGCTCCGGGGAAACTTGCATGAGCAACTGCTTGACTCACCACTTCTGATAACTTCATTGGGGGAAGATTGCAGGAAAGTTATTTTCATTATTATAATTTATTTGACTTCAACAAGCAAAATACAGACAGTGTTTTGCACCCAAAAAACAAAACAAAGAAAGTAGCTGAGAAAAAAAACAATAAGTTTTTCAGAATCTTGCAACTTATACCCGATACAATGTCCAGAACTTGTCTGGAACCCACCCCAGATATGAATTTAGACGGGCCTTCACTTTCCAAAATCGCATGGGATGTGTATTGCTTTTGACTGGTCCACAGCTGTTTGATGCTAGGCACAGAATTTTTTTTTTTTTAAATATAGAGTTTGTTTCCAAAATGCGATTAACACCATTCTGTTCCCTTTTAAAATCCTGCCCTCTCCAGGCTGCCCAAAGTCAGTTTTGACTTCTGTATTTAAACACAATTGAAGAATGCTGTACAGTGAAAAATGTAGTTTAGAAATGGCTGTTATACTGTGTATGTTATGTAAGTTTCCATAACTGTGCAACTTTTCATTGTTTTTGAATGATATATCGTGTTTTTGGAAATATACTCTTCAAATTTTGATGGAGCTGGTTAGCACAAAATTTTTTGTAAGCACAGCCAATGCAGCTAACCAGAATTAGCTGAATTGCATGGAGTGCTGTGGCCCCATAGTCTTGGGCATTGAACGCATGGTCTGGGGGTAATTCTGCAGGTTGTTGGTATGTGTCCAACCTGGGGTTGTGGTAGGTGTGTCCTTGGGCAAGGTACTTAGAATGGTTCTTGGCTTATATATGCTCAGCCTGACATTTGACTCGGTAACAATTCATAATTAAAGACTGACTGATAAATGACAAAACCTTTTGGCATTCCAGAGGCCCAAACTGACAAAAATTAACATATGGCTGCCCCAAATTTTGTTAAGTACTATACCTGTTTGTGTTTTAAAAGTGACCATTAAAATAAAGTTAATTTCCTTGTTTTTTGTTCAGGATAATAAGATATCTCTTCTACAATATATCGTCACCCACTACGTGGAGAAAATCGATGAGGTAAGTAGTTGTTTTCTTTTTAACTCTTTAGCACAGGTATTAAATTGTATTACATTGTGTTAATGCCTCCGTGAATCAATCAGGCCGCAGGGTGCTGGGGCAGTGGCGTAGCCAGGGAGGATGCAGAGTGGCAGAGTGCAACGGGCTAGGGATTTTAAAAGCAAAATCGTGACCCTTGATGGAAGCAAACTCGGGACGGCAACAATTGGATTTTAAATTCAAAATCAGGACTTAACATAAATGGGATGAAATTGTTTTTTTGCTTGGCTTTGGCAAACAAAACCCTAGCTACACGCCTGTGCTGGGGCGGTATGGGATAGAATGAGGAGTAACTGGCAGGGTGGTTTAGGGCGGTTCAGGGGCTTAAGTAAGAGTTGTTTCATATACAGCGTGTGTCAATAAAAACGCAGGATTAGAAACAAAAATATTAAGAATATAAACCACCCCTATTCATCATAATGTTAACCCTCTTTTCAAAGTACCTTTCCTTCTCTTCACTATGCTTTTTATCCCATCTCATTTGGACAATCCTGTCCAGAGATAGAGTACATTGAAGAAGGGTTGTAAATTCCAAGCTGGTCTGATTTGTGAAATCACACATACCTAATGAAAGGTTTGAATTCAGTACAGGTGAAAGTATTTGTGGATTACAAAGAAGGACATGTGTGGCAGGATTAGATTTACATAATCCTTTAGTCCACAATCAATGTTATTTGATATGTCAGAGACGACATTCATGATGCTTTGAAACAATGATAGTCCAGTTATTAAATTTAGGTGATACTTATCATCAGTTGTTTCAAAGAAAGTTTTGTTCTGGTTTAATTGTCTTCAATGCATACCTGCATTGTACATAACTGGTCGTTGTGTTAAGGTCATTGAATCAGACCAACCCGCTTCAGAAGGGCTTCACAAAACTTGTCATAACTTTTGAACCAAAAGTTCAAATTCCACCAAACAAAAATCTTGTCAAAGATGAAATTATGGACAATCAAATCCTTATCAAATTAGGCACACCAGTAGCATAATTTTCTCAGAAAAAAAATCGCTTTGAATCCTGCGTTTTTATTGACACACGCTGTACTTAAAGGCAATTCTGTTTTTATAATATGATTGGAGTTTTAAAGACTGGTTCCTGTTTACTTATAAAAAAAAAGGATTAGGAACAATTAATTATTTTTACAGAATTTATTGACCAATGAGCTACATGTATCAGTGATACAACTTCCCCAACCTGACTGGATATCAAGCAAATCATTTAGAATCATTTTTGTTTGAAACAAAGTTGAACAACAGAAATCGACTGGAGCAGGGTTCGAATCTGCAACCTCCAGACCGCTGTTCTGGTGCTCTACCAACTGAGCTATCCAGCCCTATGTTGGCCGTTCCCCATTTCTGCAATGTCTTTGTTCAAGGGGTGTTAGTCAGGCCCGTGACTAGCGCCCCTTGAACGAAGACATTGAAAAAAAATGGGGAATCGCCAACATGGGGCTGGATAGCTCAGTTGGTAGAGCACCGGAACGGTGGTCTGGAGGTCGCAGGTTCAAACCCCGCTCCAGTCAATGTCTTTGTTCAACTTTTAAAACAAGTAGAATTATTTTCAATATTTAATTTTTAATTTGTGATTTGTCCAGCATTCAGGAACTGAGCAAGCACACTGTCCTCTCCCTGAACCCAGCAAGATCAACCAAGCCGCTCTGGTGAAGTTTGAAGACCTCACCAAGGACCTCAGCAAAATCAAGCGAGATCTGAAAGGTATGTGCTTCCTTTGATTTTGTGGGCCAGTTTGCAGTAATTCTAGTATTACCTGTTGTTATTTGGCATGCAGCAGGGACAGCCTATAGAAAAGTGCTGATCAAACATAGACTTGATCCAATACTAAAATATTTGAAATGCTCTGATCAAGTTCTATATGCATCATCCTAAACTGGCCAGAATAGCTGATATTTGTTAGATTTTAAAGAAGAACTTTGAGCTAATCTCCTCGAAAGGTGTCATATCAGAAATGTAACTTGCCTTTTGAAAAAAAGTGTGGCATCTGACAAACAATAAAACGACGCAACTTATATGATTATATACTATTATGGATGTTTTCTCGTCTCCTTGTGACCACTCACATTCAAGCAAGCAATTCAGTTCAAGAAAGCATTAAAACGACTTCCACATTGTTCCGTATACAGCTCTCACAAGTGGTCACGAGGTGCCATCTATGGCTGTCCCTTTCTATTTCTGTGGTTCTCATATTTTTTTCCCTCTGAAGTAGGGTTGGTCAGTCAGTGGGAAAAAAAAAAAATCTGAATGAAAAACTAATTGAATGTGCACCCGTATTGATGGTGAAGTTAAATGATGCCAAGTGCGTATTGTCTTATGTTTTGTTAATTGCAATGAGTTTATCATGAGTCGCTGAACAAAATAATAAAGCCATTTTCTGGCAAGATGTAGTTGACTTAATATTTTCTGCGTAATGCTGGTCACTATTTACGTTTTGGCTGTATTGGCAGCCATGACATACCATGCCTCTGTTATTCTCTGTAAAGGTAAACTAGAGATCCCTAATATGATGAGAGGCAAGACCCTCACATCTTCTAGGTGTTAAAAATATGGTATTATTTTTCTATAGCTTTCAAATTACACAGAGCTTGATTGCCTGAATTTGTATTCATTGTTTAAAAAAAAATGTGTTAGTTGGGGTTCCAAATAGGGTGGGCGTAATAAAAAAAAGGTTTTCTTATTCTTGGGTCGGGAGCCCAAAATAGGGTCAGTCGGAAATGAGAACCAAAGAAAGAAAAAGGGATGCCCTAATGTTCGTACACAGAATCCATAATTCTATTTAGCCTGTATAAAAAAAACTAAAACAATTCCTCAGTGGTTAGGTTGACCTTCAAATGAATCTCCTTGCTCAGGTTGTGAGGGCAAGATGGTCAAGGTCTTGAAGAGTTCAGCTGAGGAGCATCTCCAGCCCTTCAAGGACAAGATGGAAGCCTTCCTGAGTCAGGCAAAAGATGATGTCGGCATCACGGAGGAAAAACTGGAAGAAACAGTCACAAAGTGAGTCTGAACGTTGTCCTTGGAGAACAGTTCATTGACAACTGATGGAGCTACCCTGGTAAAATAACACAGAATAAATAAATAAATAAATAAATAAATAAATAAACGTTGCCTCAATCTCTCTGGCAAAGACCATGTCACGATGCTCGTTTGTCCAATAGACCTAAGAAATAATGACGTCACGCTTTGTTTACATGTGCGCTTTCCTATGGGAGCCAGGTGGGGAGGCCAGCCAATCGTCCTAACGTGTCTCCCGTTGGAAAGCGCACATGTAAACAAAGCGTGACGTCATTATGTCTTTTTTTTAATAGGTCTATTAAAAGATGTTAAAGGCACATAGGATCATTGGCATTTATCCCAAAAGTAGCCTACTGAACTATAATTAAAAAAGTTACTTGGATTAAAGATCGTACTGGTACTAAACACCCTGTGAAATTATTCTGTCTGGCTTGCTGTCATTTAGAAGAAATCCAGAAATGCAGGTGATTTCCAACGATCATTCAACTGACTGAGTTTTGGAAATAAAGAGTTCTATGGATGAAATAATGCTTCGTGATCAAAAAGTTGTGCATGTTTTTTCATCGTTTTCTCAAAATTCAAATTCCAATTCAAGTTTATTATCCACGCTAAAAAGTATAGAAATTCAGCTTCCACTGGCATTTCTATACAATAACATTACATAAAAACACTAAACCAATGTATAATACAATATACACTACTAGGTTTTGATATTCTTGTTTGGATTTGGAGTGGTGTTATTATTGGAAGTGAAAAAATGCATGAAAAGCAGATGATCCTAAATGCCTTTCAGTACTGATTTTCTTACTATACTTTCCCTGTAGGTTTGATTACCTGTCCAAGTCATACTGTGTCAAGCCAAAGAGTAATGAGGAACTAACGCCCAACTACCTGTTCAGTCTCTGGGCTCCGCTGTGCAAAGACTTCAAGGATCTCTGGAAGAAGGAACAACAAGGGATAGCCAAGAGGAGGTCAGTCTCAAGATGCGTGGCAAGCATCGGCAGTTGAAATTGTTCAAGAATTTCTGAGATTTATGATCATATTTTAAACTTCAAAGGATTTCTAACAACAACAGTCCACTCTCGTTAGTACAAACACTGTTAATACAAACTCTGGTTGTAACAAACATAAAGCCTTGGTACCATGTGCATTTATGTGCACAATGAATGGGACTGATGTTCCTCTTAATACAAAATTCTGATATAACAAACATTTTGGCTAGGTCCGGCCAAGTTTACATTAACGAGAGTTGACTGTAGTTTCTTGTCTGTTTCTGTATATAGACAGAGACTCTACTGTGATCGAAATGTTAGGCCATAAAATTGGTTATTTACATTGAAAGTTGTTTACTTTCCAACATTATCTAGCTCTCCCCAAACTCGTTGGTGTGGCAAAACAGTTTCATGAATAATCATTTTAGTGGTGTGATTTTTCCATTGTACAATAATTTGTAAGTTTCCATAACATAGTATGTCCAATATGAACTCCTTGTAGGAACAGACGTTGCTTTGTTTTGCCCACTCACATCGAGCCAGTGTATAACGGCTATGTGAAGTTCACACACTTACGTTCACACACTCTGCACACACAGTTGCGTTTTACTTTACTCTCGAGGACAATGCTTTGTGTTACCCTTTGTCCCTGCAATATAACATTCTCCCATAGACTAAGCACACAACCGTACAATAGAGGACTGTTTTTAACTAAGGACCCAATGCCTGAGGACTGAAAGGATCTGTTGTTGTCCCTTTGTGTGTCGGTCCTCCGGGGTTATGTAGAACACGCGTACACTCTAACCATCTTCACATGAAAATATGGACACACTGTGCCAATGTCACTCATTCTCTAACATCTATCACTATCTCTCACTGTTGAAGGGTATCTGCTCACAGAGCCCTTAAAATGGCAAAGCATTCAAATTTGAAAATACATGAACCAAATGTTTGCCATTTAGCCTATTACTATTGAATGTTCCACCCCACTGAGCTATGAAACAGGGATAACCTGCAGTCCTTTGCTATCTGATCTGAGTTATCATTTCTGATATATATTATGACTTTTTTTTTTTACATGCATTGTATTATGTTTATAGGCATAAAACCACAGTATGACGCCCTTGTTGCACATTCAACACCCTTGGTAGAAAAGCATACAGCTTGCATAAGAGTGATACAGTACATCTACGTGTCTGTGGAAATGAAAAATTCCACTTTTGGGGTTGCGGCCCCCCCCCCCCATTACCCCCTTGTCTCAGGCAAGGGAGTGGGCTTGATAATTACCACTCACAATTTCTCTCTTTATTTGTGATTGTTCCAGAATGCGAGAGGCCCAGGAGAAAGTCAAACAGAAACAGGAGGAGAAGCGAAGCTCGGTTATCATCAAGAAGGGAACCAAGAAGGCAGGGGGCCTGGTAAGACGTGTTTCTCGTTACAGAAGTCATCCAGCATTCATTAATGGCTACCCTAATCCGATCCGTTCACAAGTACCCCCTCACTGGCAAAGAAAGCACAGTTGGGGGTGACCGACCGACGCCAACTTGCCTGACTGCAATTCATTTGCCGCAAAGCGCGGCCACTGCGTGTACATAGTACAAATCCCCTGGTGTACGTGCGTCACACACAAGGAACGGTGCTCGTCAACCAGCGAAATGTCCCACCCATGGGACGTCGTTGCTAGGTAAAAGGGCGCCCTCTTTTTCGGCGCAAGGAGCCCATAAGCTCTGTCAATGGCAATTTTTTTTGTAATATCAATAAATCAACCACCGAATATTGAGAAAAAGCAGTGTATCAATTTGCCACGGAATTGTAGAGCTTCAAGGCTGAATGGAGTGGCCCATGATAGACAGTGTCCAAATTACTTGGCTGTTGTTTGAAGTAACCTTAAAGATATAGTCCATCATTTGTAATTTGTGCATTTTGTTCGTTTGAAGCAACAAAAGTGTTCAAAATCTAATGAAGGATACTGAACAACTAACCTGATGAAGTTTCAGCTCAGCTTCAGCTGTATATTCCGAGAAAAACAGCATTCTAGGATCTCAATTTCAAATCAAAAGTTGCTGAATCATGTTTTGAATTGGGCCTGAATTCAGCGTCCGAGGCGCACTGATCCGACGAATTATAGCAACCGCGCGCGTGTGTGCGTCGTGCCAATGCTTGCGCGCTCTGCGCCGAATAACAAAACGAACTACTAATTTAAATTACGGTGCGTCTTAAGACGCACCGTTGGAAAGGCCTTCTTTTGTTGATTACTTCAAAATGATAGCTTGCTAGAAAGATTAAATTCACAGGGAGTTTAGTCCACTTACTATCTTTCAACCAAGTATGTTTTTTAACAATAATACGCCGGTTACTTTTTCGGATGGCTGCAAATGATGGACTATAGCTTTAAAGGCACGTACGTAGGACATTGGTAATCACCCAGAAGTAACCCTATGAATTTAATAGGAAATCCTTGCTCAGAGAGAAGATAGAGCTGGTACCAAATACCCTGTGAAATTATTCCACCTGAAATTATGTTGTTTGGAAAAACAGAGTCTTTTCATTTGAATTTGTTTGTTTTAAATAGTCTTCCCATGGCCACACTTAAAAAAAGAAAGATAATAATAATAATAATAATAATTTGGTAGGCTAATCATCCTTACTCTCAGCTGGTATGCTGAATTGCGAAGGACGCGGCTACAACGTGGTCGGGCCGCTGGCACGTAAAGATGATAGTTGTTAAATGCTGCGAGGAGTACCCGTTTATTGGAAGTGCTAAGTTAGGGATAGTACAAGAGTGGGCTGCAATATCAAATATGAAACGGCACCTTTGGAATTTACAGTGCTTGCAACGGAATTCACTTACAAAAAAGTTACAAGACCAAACACTTGTGCTGAGATTTTCCCTGTTTTCTCAAGATGTATAGTATCCACTGATCTAAAACTTTGATTGGTTAGTTTTTGTTGTGCAATCTACTTCAAACTTAGAGGAATCTTGTTGTTTAAAACAAAAATACATGTATGCACCAAATGCCAGAGTTGTAATGACTCGAGTCAATGACTCGACTCGAGTCCGACATTTTTTGGTGACTCGACTCGACTCGACTCGAGTCCCTAAGGGTAAATAACTCGACTCGACTCGAGTCACTTCGAGCAAATGACTCGACTCGACTCGAGTCCCTCATCAGAAGACTCGACTCGACTCGAGCGAAGGCTAATAAGACTCGAGTCCCAAAAATAAAAGCGCAACTTTGCGCAAAGTATTTGCAATGACTTACGGTGCAAAATTTATGCTCACTTTACTTTGCGAATAGCAGTCATGTACAAATATACAACGTGTCACAGACTCCCACCTCATGGTTCTAGAACGCACAAAATACTATCCAGGAACCAGATTTTTAAACACATTTTCTAATTCGCTGTTTCATCATTGGTTTTAGGCGATTTTTTATAAAGCTATTGGATTTGAACGCTGGCTAAACTTATGGCCTCCTTTTATAAATTTTGGTATATAGTGTTCAAATAATCGTGACTCGAATTGACTCGAGCTAAATATTTGACTCGACTCGACTCGACTCGACTCGACCTTTTGACCTAATGACTCGACTCGACTCGCGTCACTTCTTTAAAATGACTCGACTCGACTCAAGTCACTTCTTTACAATGACTCGACTCGACTCGACTCGAGTCACAAAAATCAGTGACTCGTTACAACTCTGCCAAGTGCAAATGATCCTATGTACATTTAACATTCAATAATTGGGTTTGTGATGTCATTTTTTTTCACAGAAAGCCAAGTTGGCAGCCAAAGCAAGCCCAGCCGGCAAAACATAACACTCCCTCAAGAGTTGCCACCAGCATTGCGGAGTTGAAGGTATGGTCAATATGTGCCTGCATGTCTGAAATGCTCCCCTGTGCTAGTTTCTTGCGGTAGCATAATTTCCCAGTACTTCAGTTGAGTAACTTGTATCGTGACACAATAAGAGTTTTGTGGAGGGCTTTTTTTTCTTCTTCAGATTGCTGAAAATTTACTTAACCGATATTTTAGATTTTGTGTTGCATTATTTCTGTTTACTCAATATATTTTTCTACGCAAATACATTCACATTTTGATGCATATTTATTGTTTCAAGATACTTGTTGTAGTAAGGAAAGGAGAAATTGTGCGGCTTTCTTTTTGAATTCTTTCTTCCAAGAATTTGTAGTTATTTAAGATGAAAGGTGAAAAGGTTTTCCTGTTTGAAAGGAAATTTACTTTAAGAGTTTACTCAAAAATTACCGGTTTTTTTTCAGTGAAATGTTATTCACACAGAACTGTAATTTTCATTGCTCTTGAACAGTTTAATTTAGTTTTGGGTGATCCGTTTGTAAATGTTCAGTATACATGTAATTTAAAAACACCTATACATTATTATTTTTTTTCTCAAAGAAATTGGACACATTGAGCTAAGTTTTCAATTGATCAACAACTAAGGGAAATGTCAAGACAACTGCCCCCTGGTTTGAAACAATTGCAATATCAGTTCTGTTTTGTACTGAAAAGGCAAACCATCTCTAGCAAGAACATGAACGTAATGAACACTGTTACCATAATGCGTGTCAATTACATGGACTCCGTGCAGAGATTCCCCCTCAACGATTACAAAGGGAGATTTGGGGGAGGCCACTGGGAGGGACATTCAAGCACATCGCTGCTTACAACAACCTGATGCTGACGCAGTGGGTTTGTGCACTTTGAGGCGAATATAAGTAGCGCATACTGCTTGCCATAAGCGCTCAAACCGGTGCACGAACGCAGTTTGTCACCCTACTGGTGGAGCTCTCAAATGTAAAAGTAAGGTAAAGTCTGTCCCGAGCCAATGTGGCTCATCAGGCCTGTGTTTATCTCCGGTTTCCTTGGCATGAAACGACTGAGAATATTTCTACTCCCCCTGAATGGGATGCCAGTCCATCGCAGGTTACTCCCCAGCTAATGCCGTTACCCATTTATACTCCTGGGTGGAGAAGGGCAAGTGGGGGTGAAGTGCCTTGCCCAAGGACACAATATATGACCAGCAGCTGGATTCGATCCCCGGACTCTCTGATCATGAGTCACGAACCCTAACCACTAGGCCACACACTCCCCTTATGGAGTTTCCCATATGGTGTTGGAATTTGCCAGGATGGGTATGGTTCCGAGCTTAGGGCACATTTAGTTGCAGGTAAAAATCTGTCAGCTTAACTACGCATGATTCATACAAATCAGTGAGTATTCTCAAATTGTCCTAGCCGTGACAGTTTCTAAGCAACTTGTATTCTAATCAGTCAGTCTCCCATTGCCCTTGAAATCATTTATCCAGGATTTCTTTACTGTTGACCAAAACACTGACCAGCTTGGAGTATCTTTCTTACATTCATTGTTAATTTCACTGTGCAATTGTATTCATACTTTTAAAAATGGGCAAACAATATAATATTTCTGTATCAACTTGGTGCTTCAGAATAGCATGCATTTAATTTACAGTGATATCCAAATTCAGTTAACAGTTTTCATGTTTAGAAAAAAACAATTATTGAACTCAGTCCGAATTCCAACTGCATATTTGTATATACTTGCAGAGAGTGTTTATTGAATGGTTTTTCATCTTCATGTATTCCTTATTATGTATCGTATTTACACCAGAAATGTACTCCTAAGCAATAAGTGTTTGTATCTTTCCTCAAGTAGGATTGTACTGGTAGATTATAGCAATCTCTTTAAAATGCTGCATTTTCTTTTTTTCAATTTCACTTTTTCTACCAAGTTAAGCTGCACGAACTGTATTGCTTCCAAACTTCTAAGTGTGTGAAGTAATGAATATATCTATAGAAAAAACTACATGTACATACATTTTGCTTATTCTCAACCTGTGAAAGCTCTTTTTTTTTCAACAAACCCAGAAGAAAAAAATCAGCTTTTAGAAAGAAGAAAAATCCTGAATAGTATTTTTAGGCAGAGAGTGACTACATGTACCCAGTTACTACAAGTCCATCACAAGTCATTTTAGTCCCAATTCCAGTCACAAGCTATGTGTATTCAAATGAATGTGACAAAGGCATTCCTTTGTAAGCTGGCCTCAGGTCGACCTTGCAACAACACAGATCGGTCGGCGACTGACTTTTCAGGATCAAGCTGCGTCTGAGCCACGACCGTCAGGAACAACTCAGTCGCCGATTTTGTGCGACCTGAGTGTAACTGCGACGATATTAAAACGATCCTCATCAGTTGGCGCTCAGAAAAAATCACCAGTCGCAAGAGTTGAAAAATTTTAACTTCTGCGACGTGTTCCACGACCATCACACGATTTCTCAGTTTTGTGACCTGAGCATAATTTTTCCGCTTGATGCCGACGGTTTCGTCACGGCGCAAGCAAATTGTGGGTCGACCTGAGGCTGGCTCACCTCATCCACTGTTAGTTGTGACTGGACTTGTGACAGACTTGTGATTTGACTTGAGAATTGGCTTTATTCACGAGTCGGCCATATTAAATTGAAAGCGAGGTAAAATCTTCCCTTTTTGGAGCTTGCGAATAGAAATGAAAGCGATGACATAAAGTTAGTTACAAATTAATACCGGTCTGCTCTGATGAATAATTGGAAATTTGTGATAAAACATGCCCTAATGTTTTAAGTCACATTTAAAAAAAAGAAGTGGAAGTGAGGCTTGGAACACATAGTCTGGCACCATCCCATTCAGCAGTTTACAATTTATGAAAGACATTCTGGGAACACGACCCAAAATGGCTTCCTTATGAATCAGGTCTATAGCCTCGACTACAACTCTGCTGTCCATATATATGCCCTCACAGGTTCTCTCTTTTCATGTTTCTAATCATCAATTTCGGGGCACAAAAGCAGTCCAGAATTCGTCTGAGAATAGGAGGATAAAACGGGTAAAACTTGTAAAAGTGTGATTATTTCTTGGACAGTTGGACGCCTAGGCATGTACAACAGATAATGCAACTTGCATGTGAGTCTGTTCAGTTTGTATTGGTTTTGAGAAAGCAAACTACTCCGGTCCTTAAACTGTGGTCATGGAAGAAACGATATTCTCATGTGAATAGGAGGCAAAATCCGGATCCATTTTTGTAAAGGAAGATTTCTCCTCATTTTTAAAAATATTTTTGCCGAAGTGTTCTGGTCTCAGTGGTAACAGCAAAGTACTGGCTTGTGAATATCTCAGAACAGCTGACTGCTCCAATAACTCACTACTATATTTTCCTACACCTCTTATATCCCATGGAGTAATATTTATGTCATTTTGGGCCATTTCCATCAATATTTGTATGGCCATTTAATGTGTGGTTTATGGCCTACCAGTCCGATATTAGCCATCTTGGGGAATGGCCACCTGTCATTTTTGGGTCCCCTAAAAACCCTACGTCTGGTTCCACAAGGACACTCGGTCAGTGTTTTAACCTCTAGTGTGCCAGGCTAGAGTCGGGGTGTCTGGGCTGCCAATTGTCACTCACACAGGGGTTTGTCTTTCTGTTATCGATAATGGCGTGTGTGTGCTTGTAGCTGGAAGGCGGCACGTTTTGCTGGTGTTAATTGGGTAATTGGAAAATATTTCATTTTTTTTTTTTTTACGAGGGTGTGATTTGGCTGTCTACTGCTGGCCCAGCCTCCCCTTGACACGCCTGCTGAACAATGGCTGTAAAAAGCACAAGATTCCAGTGCTTTCCGAAGTTTGCCTGCTATATGTAGGACAAAATCATTGTGTATTCCGTCATAAAAGCAAAATTGAAAACTTTAAACAAAAATCAAATTCCCTAAAATTAAACTTGTGATTATTTGAGAATTATCTTGTTTATTTTTTTGATACAAAGATCTTTCTCAACATGGGAGAGTCGGCCATATTAAATGGAAAGCGGGATAAAATTTTCATTTTTGGTACTTGCAAAGAGAAATGAAAGCAATGACATCAAGTTAATTACAAATTAATACCAGTCTGCACTGATGAATAATTTATCAAATTTGTGATTAAACATACCCTAATGTTTAAAGCCAGATTTAAAAAAAAAAAAATTGAAAGTGAGGCTAGAATGCATAAATAGTCTGGCACCATCCCATTCAACAGTTCACAATTTATAATATACATTCAGGGAACACGACCAAATTGGCTTCCCCATGAATAAGGTCCATTGTTCATAAAAAAAATGTCAATTCTTTTAGGATTATTAAAGTCATTTTTCACACATTAAAAATTTACCCACCACTTTTTTTTTCAAGTCTGAATGTAAAAATTGTCTTAAAAAGGCATTTGAAAAAAGAAACAAAAACCGAAAATTTGCATATTTTAGATTTTTTGTTACGTTTCCCAGCCTGTCCTTCCAACAGCTGCAAAACACTTGTCATAAATAGTTATAAAAATATCCCTTTTCTGCCCTAAAAAAATTGTGATAGATGGTGCACTGGTGGTTGCAAATTTTGATGTAAATGTTGGGTTGTATCGTAGATTCAGTTGGCCTGCACGCATGTCAATGATTTAGCGTCAAGTGTCTGTTTTGGGGAGCATTGTCTTAAATCATCCAGCTGCTTGTTTTGATTTACTCTGATCGGCTGTTGAAATTCCAGCATTTCTGCTTGAAAGGGAATTTGTTGCCTTGTGCAAGTTCTATATCTTACCATTTGTAATAACATACATGGTCACTTAAGCAAAGTTAAGTTGGAAAATTAACAGTAACAGTTAGCGCTGCAGCTGAACTGCCAAATCGAGCCAAAATTCACCAAACATAGCACTTTCGAATCCGAACCAAATGGTAACATTTGTTTGTTTTAAGGCCAGTACAAAAGAAGTGCTAAGTGTAATCAATTGTTTTTTATGCAATATCTTGCACAAGCAAATTTGCACAAATATCTTTCCTAAGATATCATGTGGCCTCAGTCTGCCCTCTGAAAAACCAGCTTCATAGAACAAAAGGATATTCCAATAGTTTTGT